ACTAAACTACCCTTTTAAATGTATATAGCATGTGTTGTTTGGGGAAATGATAAATGACATAGATATGAAGTGATAATGGCATTTTTGAACAGATTATGTGAAATGAAAACTTAACAAAGCATTTGTGTTTGCTTCCATGTGGTTTTCTCTGAGTCCTTTTCGACACCATGGTCCTATTCACAGGCTGAGATAGCAGCACAGTTGTCACATCATGTCACCAGGTTATCTTTTGTTAAATCAGTGTTTGTCCTTATCAGTCTCTTCTAGCTTACAACCTTAGTGGAAATCTGGCCCTCCACTATTCTGAGAGCCGCTCGATATTCTTTTCTTGGTCTGTTCTTCCTTTACACAAAAAAACTGGTGCCAATCCTTTTTGTATCCTGTAAAAGGTCAAAGGTTTTTCTTGGGAATGAATGAACAGACTGGACTGTTTCTTATTCGTGTGACATTTTAATGTAACACCGTAACACCAAACTAAGGCGACTAAAGACGTTTCTAAAGGTGTTTTTGCTGTACTGATCTATGACGTTCATTGTAGTCACCACAGTCATTCTTACACATGCACAAAAAATTTACACAGAATGCTTTTAGTTGCTATAATCTATTTAATGCAAATGTAGCTACAACATGTTCACCTGTATACATTCCACAATCTCCCATTTTTTTTGCTTTGAATCTTCAATCGGACAAGCCCTTACAGGGGAAAACACACTTATAGATTATCCACAGTTGCGTTCACTGATTATGCAGATGGGGCCAGACCAATGTATGGACCCTGGGTATTAAAAACAGCGTAGTACTGCCTGATGAAGACATCTCCCAGGATCCAGAGCTGGTCAGAGCCACCCTGGCCAAAGCCAGTGTTGCAACCATAGGAGGTCTGTGGAGAGACAAGTAGAAATATATTTACTTCCTCCATATCTTCATGATAGTGCTGTAAACGTTTCTGTTGCAGTAGGCGGTTGCAATAGGGGTCTATCTGACCTGAGAGACGTAGGCAGTTGCAGGGATGGTGAAGGCGTTTCCATTGAGAGTGAAGGTGACATCAGGCATGCTCTGGACATTCTGGCAGTTCACTGTAGCCTGTGAGAAGAACATCACACACAGAGTGAAATACCTTGTAGCAGCAGATTTATTTTACAGGTGCCCAGCTAAAGCAAGTAACCAATCCTGCTTAAATATTTTTATTTGAGAGTTTTAATGCCGGACCATTAAATGTCTGTTTAATCTGGGTTCAGAAAATGGGGGAAATATACTTGAAACGGTATGGTATGACGGTATGACTCACATCTCCGTACTGGTCAGTTGTGGCTCCAACCCAGGAATTCATGTTGCTGATGTCACTGGTTGGGCCAACGATGAGGGAGGTACCAGTGTCAATAATGGCCTGGCAGCCACCAGAGCAGGCCACAGTCTGTCCATTGATGGTAACACTGTGCGGAGGAACAGCAGAAGGTGGATTACGGTCAAGCTAGGAAGCTTTATGCAACTTGTTTGCAGTTAGCATTTTGTTTATGTTTTTTTTAACCTGTCCATTTGGATCTGCCAGTAGGTGGCAGAGGTCAGAGGGATCCAGGTGATTTGTCCTGTGTAGTGGCTGCTGTCAACACCACCGAAGACCACCTCACTGCCCTGGTCGCTGTTGCTAAGAGAGTAAAAAACAAAAGTACATATGAACATAATGTTATAGGAAATGACACACATGTGCCAAAAGATTTCCATTCTGTTTCAGTACCCGCTCAGGTAGACAGAGAACATGGGCTGGGACACCAGTCCCTGCTGGATCATGTTGTCGAAAACAGGCACGACGTTGTCAGAGGCAATGGACTGGAAGGCCAATCCCAGGATGCCATCAGCCTGCATGCTAGCCATAAAAGGAGCCTCTGTTTGGCTAAGGCCAAAAACCTGGTTTGCCACAGAGATGCCGCCCACCTGGACAAACAAGACAGCTGTCAGTCACAGTTCAACAGACCACAGGGATATGCGTGTTTGAAGTCTAAATAGACATTTTTGCATTTTGCATTTTGTTCCAGGAACTTTGGTTACCGTAACAGTGTCACTGCCCAGATATCCGGTCATGCTGCCAGTGCCATACTGGATTGACAGGGACTGGCCGTTCGATTGGAAGGTGGATGACTGCTGTGGGTTGAACATGTTGTGGTTCTCTGCAGAGGAATGATATTTTTTATTAAATGTGCATTTTAGAAATATGCATTGTGTAAAACACTACCCAAATATTTGAATCATATCAGGTAACATTTTAACCCCCAAACAGAAGTGTTGACCCATCCTAAAAGCATTTTTGGTCCGCTCCCTTTTCTCCCAGCCTGAGCTGAATGAGTTCTTACTTAGGAGACGTTATGTAAGACAATGCAAGACTGTGTTCTGTCCGACTCTTATGAAGACGCACATGGTGTTGAAATGTAAGTAATTTAATAAAGTTTGTTGTTCCATGTGCTCTTGTATTCTTTGGATCTAATCTCTGAGGTCTCTCCTGAATAGCAGCCTGGCTTGCAGTGGTTAGTCTCAGTAATACTCACGGCAGGCCTGACTGGAACAGCCGACTGAGGGGACCCACAGGTTGGAGGAGCCGGTGTCAAAGATGACAATGAAAGACTGAGGAGGGGTGCCAATGGAGACCACACCATAGTAGGACAACTAGAGGGGTACAGGAAGATAAATTAACAGATGCAGACAACTTGATTCAATATGATTGAAATATGTGGGTCTCTTTCTGTTTTTCAGCAACAATTTTATTCCATATAATTTTCACCCATATGTATATGTATGTGTGTGTGTGTGTGTGTGTGTGTGTGTGTGTGCGTGTGTGTGTGTGTGTGTGCATGTGTGTGTGTGTGTGTGTCCTTAAACCAGAGGCTATGAGAACAAACAATAAGCTCAACCAAGTCTAAACTGTCTGTGGTCTGGACTTACGTCAGCATCGTTGGTCATTGGCTCAGTACCAGTCTGGAGGAACTTAACCAGTGGGTTGTATGGATGCTGCTTCCTGTACTTCTCCCATAGTCCTTTCTCCCTTCAGGGCTTGCCTGGCAGTCTTTCCCTTGATTAGGGGAAGCCTACAAATACAAAGGTGAATAAAGAATCAGCAAAATGCACAGACGTCCAGCATTTCATAACTGAAGACATCAGTCAAATAAACTCTTCTTAGAGCTTTAAGTTTGAAAGGTGTGATCAGTATGTGGAGAGATTGTCTGTCAACAACTCAGCCGATTGAGGTGTAAAAAGTCAAAGAACTTACCTAACAAGGCATTCAGAGAAAGCCACGAGGGCTGTCAGGACGATGAGCCACTTCATCATGTCAAAAACTGTTCTGTTGGACTCAGGCGAGTGACGTTCTGGTTGTAGAGTCCAGTCCTTATATACTTCATATGAAGGTTGTGTCTCCAAAATGCCCTTCCACATAACTTGATATCATGTATTAGCTGGAGATAAGAAATGTGCAATATGGTGATAAGTTTCCTCTTATCTAGGAGCAAATATTACATTAAACAACTGAACAATGAAAACTTTTTCATTATGAATTTTAAATATGTTTTGTGGCAATACATTACTGTAACATCAAGAATGCCTTCTAAAGAGGATTAGTTTATGTGTTTGTATGTTGCTTTTACAGTATAATGTTATAATATTCACAATTAAGAGAATCTATTTTGATTGTAGTGATTGTAATGTGCATATAGTGTGTATATATTTTACATACTTGATACTGATGTTTATACTTGATTGTGTGTTAAAACACTTTAATGGTGTCTGGTTCTGTCTTTTTCACATTCCCCTTTGCTGCTGTGCCAATTTGAATTTACCCCAAGGGGGGATCAATAAAGGAACATCTTATCTTATCTAATCTTAAACTCTGGTTGATGTTGTGCAACAGCCACTCAATGAAAACTTTGTGTTTTATTGCGCTGAAGAGAAATCATTCATGCAAAAGTAAGGTAACAATGCTAATGTTTATCTGTTATAATGTTTATATTTAAAATACTTTTAATAGATACACTGCGCACTTAATGTGTTCAGGAGATTTGTGTTCAGAGCTTCTGTTTAACGTTGATATGGAAACTTTCCACAGGTTTCCAAGGGTGTGAACAGAGGTTACTGATAACAATATTACACAAAGACACAGGAAAATGGCGTGAACTGTGAATAAAGAACAACAAAATGCTCAGAAATTCAAAAAGCTTACTCAAAATTATGTACATATTTTAATTTGACTTTGATTGGAAAGTTAATTTCATATCATATTTACACAGTTGATATTACATATTTCATTTCATTTTAAAATTCAAATTAAAAATCCAGTGTTTGTAATTGCTTCCATAACTTTGGGTTGCATTTGGTTTCACAAAATGTTTTTGCAGTGACATAGTTCCTTGAAACAGGGAAATTAACCTTTATCAAAGTGGTGTAAAAAGTATTAAGATTATTTACTGAAGTAAAGGTAGTTATACCACAATGTCAAAAATACTATTAGTCTATATTCAAAAAATAACTCAAGTCACAGTAGATATGTATTAGCAGTAAAATGTACTTAAAATATCAAAAGTGAAAGTACTCCTGCAGAAAAATGGCCCCTGTCAGTGTTACATGCATCATATTATTGGATTATTATTATTAGATATGCATTATATAAGCACCTTTTTATGTTACAGCTGGGTGAGGCGGAGCTGATTTTTCAGGTGGATAAAACTTGATATGCATAAAAGTATAAAGTAACATTAAGCACCTCATAATAGCACTTCAATAAATACCCAGTGACCAGTACCCAGTTACACTCCACCACTGTCAAAGCAACTGTTTCTAATGAATGTCGCATTTTCTTTCAAACCATCTTATGCACATTAATATGACGTCACATTGCTGTGTAATGTGTATTTGTGTGTTTTTGAGTATTTTTTAATTGTTAGCGCTTGTTGAGCTCCAAACGTCATTGAAATGTCTATTTTGAAAAAAAACAACAACGGCTTAGATCTTCTGTGGAATTGCCCTTTATTTTACATCTGCTGGGGTCAAATGTTTGGCACGAGTGAGATGCCTTTAGTCGTCACTTTTCGTTCGTTATACAGCAAGGTCAAGTCACAAGTTTGCTTGTGAAAGTAAAGGAGACTCATTATCACCTTCATCATAATCAGACTACGATTAAAACCACTTGACACTTCCATCCCATAACACGCATTATGTTTAATCAAGCAAAATAAAGTGAACACAGAAACAAATCCTCTACAGAGCAAGTCTCCAACGGCAACGTTGTTATAATACTTTTATTGACAAGAATATTTATAAATACTTCTTGATAAATGAACATAATGCGAGCACGAAAATAAAACAGCAAATGCTTCAATTGTTCCCAAATAGCTTCCTTGTTTTAAGTAGGTAAAAAGTATCTGATGTCTACTGAGGCTCTTGTTAACAGGTTATACAGTCTTGATATTTTCTGTCCTTGGTGTGTGGATTGATAGAATCCAAACTATGTATTATAGTGCATAGAGTACACAAATGAAGGATACAGTCAGTGAAGATTAAATATGTGTTTCGGATCCACATCCAGTTGAAGTCTTCAGTCTGAAATGCTGATTCTGCTGTGCTTCTCTTAATCTGAATGTTTGGCCGTCTTTTAAAAGTCCATGTTTTTGAAGTCGTCAGTACATCTATACCTGCTGTCAGCGTACCTGGTGCACAGCAAGTGGGGGAGACAGGGGCAGGTGTGATGTTGCCTTTTCCCTGGAAAGGGCACCTGAAAATGTGAAAAGGAGGAGTGGGGGTGAGATAATCTGACAGTTTAAATCCTTTATCGGCTGACAAGTGGAGGTGCAGGTCGGTTCACTGTGGAGAAGATCAATAACCTCTGCAGTTATCAGCAGCTTTTCTAAGGCTTCAGCCAACCTGCCAGCACTTGATACAATCTGAAATTAAACTAACACAAAAAAACAATGGTGAGCGAGAAAGAAAAGGAGTATGACTGTGTGTGTGTGTGTGTGTGTGTGTGTGTAGAAGGAGCGTGAAGCAGGAACATTAGTGACATCACATTTCTTCCCACCTTGTGGCTAAAGGGGTGGCATTCATCCCCTTCCACACCTCTTGGGACGCACATCCTCAGACCCCTCATCCACAGACTGACGGCACAGCAAAGACCAAAACCACACTGCACGTCTCTCTCACAGGCCTGCAGGAAGGACAGCGAGACGAGGTGGTACAGCCAGAAAAGAATAAAAGAGGCAAAGAGACACAGACAAGGCGAGTTCTTTTGATGCCAGTGAATGCGTTTTATTTTTATTTATGCTAATAGACATACCCTTTTATGTTTGAATCTATTTCACTTTTACTTATTGTAATAGGGATGCCCTCTCATGTCCGTACAGTGAAAGCCATTTTATCTATTGCCTGTCATCTCCCTAATCCATTTACGAATGAATATCAATCAGAGGACTGAGATAATTTCCTCTCGTTTTTCCAGTGGACTTGAAGCAGAGGAGGATGTGGTCTCCTGTCATTCATGTGTAATCACATTTTAGGAAATTATCCAGTAAAGAGAGCTGTGCTGCATATTTATAGTTTGAATATAAGAAAATTAAACCAAAAGTCAAAAGACAAGGGCTAGTAAAAGTATTTTTTAAATGTATATAGACGTTGAGAGAGCAAGCGTGCTTCCCAATGCATAGACAGAATGAATTCTGAAAAGAAAGAGTCAATTAATTCATTAAAATATAATAAATAGTTGATGATAAGTTCACTGTTTAAGTCATTTATTTAAGTTCAAATTTGCTGGGTCCTGCTTCTCAAATGTGAGCATTTTGGACTGGTGGTCAGAAAAAAACCCAAGCAATTTGAAGATGTCACCTTCGGCTCAGGAATCTTGTGATGCGTGTTACAGACTAAATGATTAATTGAGTAATCAAAAAAATGAAATAATGAAAATAATTGCTAGTTGTAGCCCTTAACAGTATTTAAATTTGAGTGTAAAATCTCATTGTTCCTCAATACAAGACAATCACAGAAAGGGAAGATAATAACAATGTAAAATGTTACTTATAATTAATGGAGTAATTAGTCATTTAAAGTAATTGGACACTCTTGTAAAAACTAATTAAAAATGTTTAAAATAACAGAACAAAAAGGACTTAACCGTGTGCAGCAGAGCCAGAAACCTCTCACTCACCCCTGTGATGACGGCTCCTCTGGACCAGCTCAGGGACACCAGGAGGAAGGACAGCAGCACCGCCCTGAAGCCCATGACAGCAACAGGAGAACTGGACTCTCTCAAGCTGTTAACGGTCTCTCCGGCTCTACCGTCAGTCATAAAGGTTCCCAGAACTCCTCAGAGGGGGGAGCCACACTCTCTCCCTCTCTTTATCCACCTCCGACCCCCACCCAATGCTCCCCCTTTCATCCCTCCCTCCCTCCCTCCCCATGTCTGAGATCTCCCCACCCCTCTCTGTCTGTCTCCTCAGAAGCTTCGTCACCTTACTCATCCCGATGACGGCTGATGGAAGCTCACTGTAGTCCCTTCCATTTGTATGTCTTTGTCTGTTACATAGGGTTTGACCACACACCTGCTCAAAGCAGAGGCTGACAGAGTTTCCATGACTCAAGTGGTTCAAGCTCACACAAAAAATTGATGGCATTCATATGAACTAAAATGAATACGACACCTCCTTGTGAGAAAAGGGCACAGGTGTCATGAAATCCAGAGTTATTTGTCAGTCAGACAAGACAAATCAACATCAAAGACATATAACGAGTTTACGGAAATTACCACAGCCTGACTCACAGACTGGGCTTCATCTAAAGCATTTACAGGCTGGAAAGTAATATTTTATCATATTACATTATATTTATTTTATTATGGGATATGTGTGCCAGGATGCCTTGCACTGTGCCAGCTGTCATCAACTTTAGCATCACCAGTTCATCCACACTGAGAGAATGAGACGCTCTTATCTTTTGAAACACTTATCTGCTTTGTCACATCACACATATATACTCTGTAATTCTTGTGATGCATGTGATCTTAAGTAATTGTTTGTTTTTTATTAAAAATATCAATTTTGACAGTGATATTTCTGTCCGATGTGGCCTTTTTTGAGTGAAGGCATCACTTGGTTTCTAGGTCTTAAATTATGTTTCTTTCATTAATTTGCTGTTTAAATTTACTTCATTTGAAACCCCTGAATTATTTTAGGCATTATCCAGTATATGGTTGGGTGATGATACACCGAGTCTGCGTCAGATCTCTATTTTGGGTTTGGCTCATTTGGAGATTTACTCTGGTTGTAAAGTGTCCATATGCAGCAAAAAATGGGATCTAGTGTTTATGCCAAACTCCCTTCGTACAAGATGAAAGATTCCTTTTGTGTGTTTGTGTATGTGTGTCTGTAACAAGGGAAGAAGATATCACGTGTATGTGGACCTTGTGAATTATTCTGCATCTATACGTGTGTTTGCCTACGTGTGTGCTTGGACAGTGATGGGCAGCAGGCTGTCAGCGAAAGCGCGTCCAGGATCTGATTTATGCTGTGAGAAGAGAAATACGAGTGGATGAAGAGGAGAGGAGAAGATAGAAGAATTAGAGGCGAGAAGAGGGACTGTACCCCATGGGTTAGTCAGCAGCACATTACACTGCTGCTGCGCAGGTGATGGATTCCTCCAATGCAGTGGCCACATAATTACATTCACCCATTTCTGCCCTGTCAGCAAGAGCTCTGAAGCCTCACTTTCTTGGGACAGGCAGCAGAAATCATGCAGGGAGGTAAGCCTGGCTGGTGGCCTCCAGCTAACTTTTGAAGAAAAGACATTAACAAAATACATCAACAAAAGGCTGCGAGAAACTGATTTAAACTCAAAATATTAATACTATATTCTATGTTCAATAAAGTTCAGGCATTGGTAAAGACCGCATTGGGTTGGTAAATGTTGTGTTTATCTTGCTGAAATAATGTTGGCACCAATGTTAGATTTTGTCTCTAAAGATGATTTAAATTCTCTGAGTGTCGAACAAAAACTTTATGCTTCTCCAATAACTGTTTTGTGACTAAGGAACATGTGACATTAGAACTTATTTGGGCAACCTCAGTTCATTGGGTAAGTCATATGATTGTGACCGCCTGTGTAATGCCTCAGAACTGTGAATTGTGAAAATTGAACTGTGGATTATCAACATATTCAGGATTAAAAATAATAAGTAATCTGATTTCTCACTGGGGCTGGGAGGAAGAGAGTGACACATGAACGATGTAATACAGAAAGGCAGGATCATTACATAAGTAATCCAGTTTAGAAAATGCATTTATGATTTAATGTATGAGGACCTTGCTACATAGAAGAAGCCAGGAATATTTTATTCTTATATTTTATTTTTATATAATATTTTATTCTATCTATCTATCTATCTATCTATCTATCTATCTATCTATCTATATCTATCTATCTATCTATCTATCTATCTATACATTATTACATTAGTACACATTGTACACAAAATAATAATACTCGTCTACAAGTATTATACTGGGACGAGGACAGAAGGTCAGCTGATCGATTAGCAGAGCGGAAGAGCGGGAAGGCGCGGAGGTTTGGAGCTACGTGGAGAGAGTGAACGAACGGTGGCCGGAAAACATAGTAGGATCGAACTTTGTTGGCGGATCTGCATGAACTGTACTGTGAATGTAACATCATGTCAAATAGTTCAGATGGGGATGAGATGGTGTGGATGATGTCCAGATCTGTAAGATTGAAAAGGGACTTGAGAGAAAGAGAGGGAGGGAAAAGTTGGTTAGAACATAGCGAGACCGGCGAGGGAAGTAATAACAAGAAACTGAGATCTAGCCAGAGTGAGAAACAGAATCCTGAGAAACGGAGAAAGTGCAAGGAAACGATTGGAAAGTTATAATTGAGTTCAATCAGGATGGTGGACACTATCACCCAATTAAACTTACCAAGGCGATTGAGAAGGAGATTGGCAAAATCAAATTTGCAAGATTTTTGAACAATAAACGGATACTGATACATGCAAGCAGCAAACAACAACAAGAAAAGATTCTTAGTATGTCCACACTTCAAGGGGAAAGGATGAAGGCCCACATCCCAGGAGCAACAGCAAAGGTTAGAGGAGTTATATCAGGAGTCCCTTTGAATATGTCAATGGAAGATATTAAAAATGAGATTCAGGGAGGCAAAGCAGTTGAGGCTACTAGACTAAAAAGCAAACAAGATGGATCATTAAAAGACACACTATCTGTGGTTGTGCAATTTGAGAGAACCCTCCCTAAGTCAGTCCAAATGGGATACATAAATTACAGCGTGAGAGAATACATCCCTCCCCCTATCAGATGCTATAAATGTCAAAGGATGGGGCACACAGCTCAGCAGTGCAAAGGAAAGCTAAGGTGTGCTAGATGCGGGGGCCAGCACGAGTATGGGAAATGTGAAAAGGATGCAAAGATTAAATGTTGTAACTGTGGAGGAGAGCATAGTGCTGCATTTGGTGGATGTGAAGTGCAAAGAGAAGCCAGAGAAGCCCAAAAGGTGAAGATATTGAACAAAGTATCATATGCAGAAGCTCTAAAGAAAGTAAGAGAAACAGGATCAAATAACAAAAACTCCAGTGGAATTGTAACACCAGTTAATCAGACACAAAACCAGATTCCAGCTCACACACAGAATGGTTGCGAGCATAAATGTAAAGTTGACGATGATACGTTGATAGTGAAAAAAGTGAACTTTGTGGGTTTCATATGTCACACCATCAATGTTGCGTCCCAGTTGAAAAAGAAAAGTGACAGAATTAAGGCTAGAAGCAGCAGGAAAGCTTCTTGATATGAAAAATATCAAAGCAGATCAAATACATGCATTGTTGACGGTAACTGAAAATGGAAATACACAAACAGAGGGTTAGGACACTTATAATGGTTCTTCACATACTACAGTGGAATGCAAGAAGTCTTATAGCTAATGGTCAAGAATTCAAAAAGTACATTCATGAATTAGATGTTGTTCCAGATGCAATATGTGTACAAGAAACTTGGTTACGAGACAGACTAGATTATGTGATACCAGGGTTTAGCTCTATAAGGTACGATAGACCTAAAAACCACACTGGTGGAGGGTGCATCACCTTTATCAAGGTTGGGTTGGCCTACAGGGAATTCCCAAGCTCAGAAGATTCAGAATGTATAATAGTTGAAATCTATAGCCCAAGGAAAGTGGGAAACATTAAATTGATTAATTTCTATAACCCATGCAAAAACTTAGATATCAATAAACTGAATGAAATGGCAGGGACTGTATACAGGAAAGAAATATGGTGTGGGGACTTCAATGCACACAACAGCTTATGGGGCAGCAATCACACAGATAATAATGGGGACATAATTGAAGAAATGATGGAAGAAAGATCACTGGTCTGCATTAATAATGGACAGGGAACACGAATGGATGTGAATAGGGGTAAAACATCATGTTTAGATATCACACTGGTATCAGATAATTTGGTAAAAGCATGTGAATGGTTTGTTATGAATGATTCTACCATAGGAAGTGACCATTTTCCAGTTCTCACTATTATTAACACAAATGTATGTTTCCTAGAAGGAAGTACAATTAACAGATGGTGCTTTGAGAAAGCAGACTGGGAAAAATTTAGGTTATGTTGTACGAAGTCAGCAAACCTTGTGACATTTGAAGGTGATGTAGAGGAATGCACAAAGCAAATTACAGAACACATTATAAATGCAGCACATTTAAGTATTCCAAAAAGAACAACAAAGGGCACGAAGAAAGTGGTCCCCTGGTGGAATGAGGAGTGTAGCAGAGCTAGAAAAGAACGAAACAAAGCCTTTAAAACATTAAAGAAGAATTTATCACAAGAGAGTGTTTTGGATTTTCAAAGGAAAAGGGCAGTGGCACGTAGGACAATTAAGTTAACCAAAAAGAAAAGTTGGAGAGAGTTCTGTTCCACCATAGGTAGAGGTGTAGAGTTAGGGGATATATGGTCTATGTTTAAAAGAATGAGTGGGAAAAGGAAAGCGATTAAAATCCCAGCTTTGATAGATGGAGGAAAGACGGTGGTGTCAGACAAAGAAAAGACAGAGATGTTGGGTAGGGCTTTTGCGGCTGTGCATAGTGGTGATCACCTTATGGATATTCATAAGCAACAGAAAGACCTGGCACTCAGAGAAAATAAGGACGTGAAGCTGAAGAGGGAGGATGGTACAACAACTTTAGATGTGGATTTTACAATAACAGAACTCAATATAGCTCTGCTTGGCACGGGATATACAGCCCCAGGACAAGACCAGTTATATTATGCCATGTCCCCGACAGCTGCCAGTAGGGTCAAATAAGCCCAGTGTTAAGACTGTTCAATAAAATATGGAAGGATGGAATAATACCGAGAAGTTGGAAAAGTGCAGTTATACTACCGTTTAGCAAACCTGGTAAAGACCCAACCAATCCTGGTAATTATAGACCCATAGCTCTGACATCACACTTATGCAAATGGCTGGAGAGGATAATAGTTCGTAGGTTATCACATGTAGTGGAACAGAGAGGACTACTGAGTAATATACAAAATGGATTTCGGAAAGGGCGCTCCACAACAGATGCTCTCGTTAGAGTAAGTAATGAGGTAGAAAAGGCACTGAAAATGAAAGAGCTGATGATAATAGTGTATTTTGACATTGAGAAGGCATATGATACTATGTGGAGGGAAGGACTACTTATTAAACTAAATAGAATGGGGTTTGAAGGAAGGATTTATAACTGGATACTAGACTTTTTAACAGATAGGAAAATTAGAGTAAAGGTTGGATCAGAAATTACTACAGAGTTTAAGGTAAATAATGGCGTTTCCCAGGGGAGCGCAATTAGCCCTATATTATTCAACATTATGATTAATGATATATTTTCAGATTTAGATGGACACATCAAATCAGCGTTATATGCAGATGATGGGGCCATATGGATGAGAGGAAGAAATGAGACATATGTGTTAGAGAACATTAGGAAAGCAATAGGGAAAGTAGAGAAGTGGTCATTCAAGTGGGGATTTAAAATATCAACAAGCAAATCCTGTTATATGGTGTTCACAAACAAAAAGTAAAGTGTCATGTAGAAAAGCTTTTTCTATATCAGCAGCCAATGGAAAAAGTAAATGAATTTAAGTATTTGGGATTGTGGTTTGATAGTAAATACACATGGAAAACACACATAAAGCAATTGGAAACTAAATGTAAACAAGTTATTAATTTACTGAGAGCGGTGTGGCGGGATGCGACTGGGGTGCAGATAAACACCACTAATCCACTAATGTCACTAATTGACATATATAGAGCATGCATGAGGTCATCAATAGATTATGGTTGCATAGTACATGATGCAGCAGCAAAAACAACATTGGAAAAAATTAATAAATTACAATACAGAGCCTTACGGATATGCATTGGAGCCATTAAGACAACTCCCCTTAACACAATACTCATAGAAGCTGGAGAGACACCACTGGAGTTAAGAAGAGAGAAACTAGCGCTAGCATATTGGGTCAGATTGAAAGGAAGTGGGAAAGAAAACCCTGCAAAGGAGATAACAAAGGATTGTTGGGAATATTTCAAGTTTCGGGGGCATGGGTTTGGATGGACGGGGGAAAAGAGAGTCAGGGAATATGGAATGGAAGCATTAGATTTCAGCACACCCAATCCAGTCAGTAACAATCCACCTTGGCTCTATCCAGACGTAAAAACAGATTTTAGTATACTGGAAAAGAAAAGAGGATGGGGAATAGAGGAAGTGGGAATACGGACTAGCAGCTATCTGAGAAACAGTTTCCATAATTATCTAAAAATCTATACAGATGGATCTAAAAACAAACAGGAATGTGTGGGAATTGGAATACATATACCAGAATTCAAAATAAATATCTCAAAACGATTATCAGATAGGCTATCTGTATATACAGCAGAAATAGTGGCAGTCATTATAGCATTACAGTGGGTTGAAGAGGTCAGACCTGATAGGGTGATATTATGCACAGACTCCTTAGCAGTTATTAAAAGCATTCAGTCAATGACATCTGTCAGAGAAGACCTACTGATAGAAATGTTTCACAGCTTATTAAGATTACATCGGGGAGGGATAGATGTTCAGTTTTGCTGGGTGCCAGCTCATGAGGGAGTAAATGGAAATGAGATTGCAGACAAACTAGCAAAAGAGGCATTACAAAAGGAAATAACAGTTCAAATACTGCTAGGAAAAGGAGAAGGAAAAACAGCCATTAAGAAGAAAGGTACTGAAATATGGCAGAAATGGTGGGAGGAAGACAGGAAAGGAAGGAGTTACTATAAAATACAAAAGTCTGTCAGTAATAAAAATTATAGCGAAAGGAGCAGGCGGGAGGAAATTATGACAAGACTAAGAGTAGATCACACAGGACTGAATGGCACCTTGTTTTTATTGGGGAAAAGGAATAGTGAAAAAAGTGAAAACTGTGGGGTTAAAGAAAATGTTGAACATATCATTTTGCACTGCATATTGTTTGAGTTGGAAAGACGGATATTTCAAGATAGGGTTCAGGAAGCAGGGCGGGAATGGAATCTGATGGGGGTATTGGGAACAGAAGGAGAAGAAAAGGGTATAAGAATCACCAGGAAGGCATTATTTAAATTTCTTAAAGACACTGGGTTGGTGAACAGAATATGAGAGCACCTTATTGAGGTTGATAGCTGAGTGATATGATGTTACACACTCCAGTACAGTAGGTGGCGGTATGCACTTAAAAGTTGTTCCGCCATTAAAGAAGAAGAAGAAGAAGAAGTATTATACTGAATTCTTATTCTTCGCGCTCTTCGTGTGTTTTTATCCTCACGGGGACCCTTAGTGCACGTGATGATCAGCTGACGGAAGCCGGAAGCTTTCAGAAAGCAGACAACCATAACAAAAAGTCTTCATACACTAAACTTGAAGTTTGCAGTTATTTATTGTTGATAATGGAGTCGACCCTCGAACAGCATCTTGATGACACGTAAGTTAATACCGGTCCGTGTTTGAGTTTGTATTTTAAATGTTAGGACGTCAAAGGCAGATAACTAATCGCGATTTGTTTGTGTTGTTGGCAGCATGAAAAATCCAGCAATTGTCGGTGTGCTCTGCACGGATGAGCAAGGACACAACCTGGGCTGTAAGAGAACACCGAGTTACTTCTTCATAGTCATGTCTGAGGTTTTACAGGAAAATGTTTCTCGAAATAAATTACACCAAACTGGCCGTTAACTCTGGCCAGAGATAGGGTTAATTATCGATCAGTAAAATTACTCTAACAGACCTTTTATGTAAACAATCGTCCCAATCCCCTAAAATCAGTACAAATGCTTCCGGTAGAAAATGCGCGTTTCTACACGTGAATAACACAAACAGCTAACTAACTATGAGTCATAATTAGTCCACTAGTTAATAACTTCATGTTACTTGTTTACAGTTTCTCTCAATTTGATAATCACATTTTCAGAAACAAATGTGATTCCTGAAACATTTTCTGAAATTTCCAGTCACTTAATTTTCTACTGGGCAGCAGCACAACACCTCAATCGTCCTGCGAAAGGCCGCTGCACTCACTCAAACTGAAGCCGATTAGTCGATGAGTTGGATCTACAGCAAGGCCTTTGCAGCTATTGTTTAAGTGGTCTTCAAGCAAATAATCACTCGATCCAGCTTCTAAAATGTGAATATTTCCTGATATTCTTGGCATTATATGATAGTAAACTGAACATCTTTGGGTTTTGGACTGTTGTCGAACAAAAAACAAGGCTTTTTAAGACATTACCATGGGCTCTGGGAATTTAGGATAAGATTTTTTTCTTGCTATTTGCTGATAATCTACAGAGGAGCCGGCTAATCGAGTCAACAATGGGTAGATTATTTGATAATGTAAATAAACCTTTGTTGCAGTCCAACTCACAACAATTAACTTGAGAGAGTCTCGTCACAACCACCATGTCCCTTTTTATCATTACTTAAGCCAAGGCAGCCAGATGTTTGAATAGTGTCAGTATGACAGAAGACACTAAACTAGGGTTTCTTTATGTCATTTCTTATTGAGACTTACATGGAGCAACCCAAAGTAAAATATAATCTACAGCCAACAGATTGAACTCATGTCAGGGAAACATCAGTTTATTCATTTGCCTTTTCACTGGTTTCTCATTGTCCAGTGTTCACCTTTCTGGTATGTCCCTGGTTCACAGTGAGCACCGTATATGCACTGTATGTAACAGAAATGTCAAATTGATAATAGAAAAAGACAAAGGTATCAAAACACATCTCTATACAACACATTCTCGCAACAAGAACACCCTTTGCCATGATGCAGCCTTTTCCTACATGTCTCTGCTATGACGTTGTCAGAGACGGAGTAGAGTCCCTGTCCTCCCTCTGCCTGGATTCCACCGGGCACGGCTGCATCGTGTGTGGTACCTACATAACACTTAGTTTCAGACAGTGAGCACACCTGAAAGTAACAGTTACTATATAAAAGCAGTGTGATCAATTTTGATCACATAGGCTATTGCCTGAATATAGCTGTCATGAGAAAAAATAGATGTGTTAATAAATGATAATATAGTGATTTTCATTTGACAGTTACCCGGAAGCAACAAAGAAAAACTGTAGGTAAACTATCGTTAGCTCCCTTGAAAATCTCAAATCTTCAAAACCAAGTACGAATGCTTCAAACGGTAAATGCACGTTTAAAAAAGTTAAGTTGTGTATAACACAAACCACTTGCTACTCCCCTTGTTGTGTCAACCTTTGTCATAATCTGTACAGAGTCAATCATATTCCCAGAGTTAATAATTTTTTACTGGGAATTTCTCGTGGAGAAATCCGTGTTCAGTAACCTTGGTGGTAAAACATAAAACATTAAACACATTTAAAGCCCCTCCAGCCAGTTTTAACTGCCGTTTTTGGTGAACGTTCTTTCTCAAACAGAAGAATGGGGGTGTGGTTAATAGTCGGACGTAATCAATTACCATGACAACCAGAAACTGACCGGCTGGAGTGTTCGCTAACGATATGCTGCGTTAACGTCACTACACTGTAAAGTTTAATACACTTTACTGTCTGGCAGGAGCATCTATTATTTACCCATGATCGAAACTAATGTGCAAGTATCAGCTGTCATCAATCATACACGCACTGCACACGATAACTCCCACTACCTTTTATGGTGCACTTACTTTCCCGCTGCGGGGGTGGGGGGGGGGTCAACTGTGCTATTTTTGTCTATACAGTTACAATACAACCGTATACTTGATCTTCTGCATGTAAAGTTGACTTGTTGTGAATTTTACTAAGAGGATAAATAGTAAACTGGAGAGATTAAAACGGAGTTCTGTTTATGTAGGCTATCAGATATTTTCACCAGCTTTAGCTGTAGATATTATGTCCCTATAGTACTAAGCATGTCATACAGCTTAGGCAGGCCTAAGGCAGGCACATTATGAAGTCCTTACCTTTATTTGTTGTGTCCTGAAGAATGGGGTATTTAAGCATTTTATACAGCCTCATTAGGTTGACAATAAAATTAATCACATTTAATGTAATCTAATATTCATGAATTGCAATTAACAATAACACAAACTTTTTAAAATATGTGTTGATGCACTAAATGGGTATGGTCAAAATGAAACATATTAAACTAGAAAAGACTCAACAGCAAACCAAAGCTGTACAATTCTCAAGTTTTTATTAATAGAAAATATTTTAAATAACAATTACTGGCTCTACATGAAAATACCCACAGACCATTCTTTTGACTGAGTACAGTGACAAAACAAAATAGTTTCTTGCAATGTTGAGAACATCAAAAGTCACACCTCCAGCGTTGGCTGAGACATATTTGTTTATTAGATTTCATCTAAATCTCTCTTTTAGAGATGCTTTTTAGATATCTTACAAATAGACAAATGTGACTGAGTATGTCTTTGGCTGAGGATAATATTAATTGTAGGACTGATCTAGCTTTGCCTTCATTAATAAAGATCTTAACCTGAAAACCGTGAACCAAGACTTCTGTGCTGGTTTCACATTTATGTCCAGTGTTAAACCGTTAACCGACAAAGGCCGACTGCCTCATCCATCCATGAGGATCTTTTGGCCAATCTGCTAAGCGGGGAAGGTGCAGTGGACTCCATGAGGGCTGATGCGTATACTGGGGAAAGAAAAAACATGTTTGTAGAATATAACACACCATCACAGCAACCTCTCAGCTACCATTGTGGTAGAAATGCAGAACTACTGAGAGAAACCTGTGGAAAAGGCAGATCATGCAGTTCACAAGTTGTACATGTGTGAAAAAAGCCAGAAGTAAAGACAACACATAGAACATTTGTAAGACCAAATTCTTTATGTATTGTGAGCCAATGCTGCCACCTTGTGACTAAAAAGTGGCATTAGCTTTTGAAGAATATCCATGTATACTATCCATCCATCCATCGTCAACCGCTTATCCTGCGTACAGGGTCGCGGGGAACCATGTATACTAGTTTCTGTTAATAAGATACACCAAGCTAAAACTGTTGCAGTCTAGTAAAACAGCACTGCAATAAATTATATCTTCATGAAGCTAGTAATATTTTTTTTAATTGTAAAATGTCTTGTTCTTGTTTTTACTCTTAATCTCCAAAATAATAATAATAATAATAATCTTGAGGCCATGAAGAGCTTTAAAAGTGATCAATAGAATTTTAAAGTCAACTCTAAAACATACTGGGAGCCAGTGTAATGAAGCTAAAATAGGAGTAATGTGGTCATATTTCTTTGTTCTGGTTAAAAGCCTGGCAGCTGAGTTCTGGACAGTATGGAGTCAATCAATAGATTTTTGGCTTAAACAGGTGAAAAGGCTGTTGCAATAATCCAGGCGTGATGAGATGAAGGCTTGTAAAATGGTCTCGGTGTCCTTTAAAAGTTAACATGGATCGAATTTTTGCTATATTTCTAAGTTGATAAAAACATGATTGAACAAGCTTTGTGGTGTGCTGCTCGAAATTTAAATTACTATCAAACCAAACACCAAGGTTCTTTGCCACAGGCTTAATGTGATTTACTAGGGAACCAGCAGATGGCAGTATTTGTTGCCATCTGCTGGGACCCGATGACCAGGATTTCTGTTTTGTCTGAGTTCAGCTGGAGGAAATTATTTGACATCCATTTTTTTTACTTCACAAAGGCAGTTGTTAAGTGAACTCAGCATTCCAGGGTCTGTGGATCTGACGGGCAAGTATATTTGTGTGTCATCAGCATAAATATGAAAAGAAATGCCATGTTTATGGATAATATGTCCAAGGGGAAGCAGATACAAGGAAAGGGGAAGCAGATACAAGGAAAACAAAATGGGTCCTAAGACCGACCCCTGAAGCACACCATATTTAACTGGACAGAACGAAGAGACATAGTTGTTTACAGACACGCAAAACTTCCTATTTGACAGGTAGGATGAAAACCATTCTAGGGCAGTACCAGAGATCCCCACCCAGTGCCTCAGTCTGTCTAACATGATGTTGTGATCAATGGTGTCAAAAGCAGCGCTAAGGTCCAGGAGTACCAGGACTGAGCACATACCTTCATCAGCAGACATTAAAAGGTCATTGGTGACTTTAAGCAGGCAGTCTCAGTGCTGTGGTACTTCCTGAAACCAGATTGAAACTTTTCAAATATTTTGTTATTTTCCAGTACAGTGAGCAGCTGTTTGGACACAATTCTTTCTAGAATCTTTGCAATAAAAGGCAGTTTTGAAATTGGTCTAAAATTATGTGGGAGGGAGGGATCTAAACCAGGTTTCTTTAAAAGTGGGTTCACGCAAGCCGTTTTAAAATGGGGGTTTACCAGCTGATCCACAGTCTTAAACAGAAACCTGGGATTGTGTTTGTGTAGTAATGAGTTCAGAAAAATAAATAAAATGGCTGTTTCAAAACAGAATCTTTACTCTACAGAATTAGCTTTGATTTACTTCAGTACAAATGTTGATGTGATGCATTTCCATTTATAAAAATATTCTACTTCTTTGCACAATGTGGGAAATTTACCTCCACAATATGTTTTTTTTGGAGGCACTGAAATCAAATTAAACCAGGCACCAACCAGCACCACTGAAGACTGGACCGCTAATCATGTTTAACCACAAACCGTATAAGGTATGTTGTAGCTGGTTCCAGCGTGCTGTGTTCATGGATGTTCTGAACGTGCTTCACCATCACATCTCAGTTAGAGTGGAAGAAGCTGCAGTCGAGTACAGATCATTTTTAATGTTTAATAATGGCTGGTCTCCACAGATTCAGGTCCTTCCTTTCTGTAAAGAAGAAAATGTAATTATAACAAAAGCCAAACTAAACGTAACAACCATCAGCTCTGCCATAAGTTCAACCTTTACGAAGCTTATAATGTTCTGTCTCTGCTGATGTTTAGTCTGAGATGGGTTAAATAAAATGTATGTATAATGTGTCTTCTAATGTTTCAGTGCACTGAGCTTCAGGACCTCCATATTTAATGAGCTGCTAGTTGACAAAAACAAGCAGAGAAGCCACACACTTGTGATGCCAATGCTCATTATTAAAAAATTACCAAAAGTTTTGATACAGATAAGTTTTCATCATCAGAGTAGCTATTAGCTATGATTGTGCAGCTGCTCTTGTCATTTCTTTGCCTCTTGCATGGCCAAAGCCATGAGTGCTCCCTTTATAAAACTAATACATTTACATATCTACAAAACTCAGTGCACATTTAGAAATATCACATTATACAGCGAAAACACACATGAACACAGGAAGAACATGCAAACTCCACACACAGAAGCCCATGGCTGGATTCAAACCTGCCTCACGAATTGAAATGAATTAATTATTAGGATGTAATACTCACTCAAACACACAGACAACACGTCATGTTAATAAACGTTTTTACTTCGTCAACTAACGTTAGTTCACTAGTGTGAATAAATCATTTGAGAGCACAACTCACCGTTTCAGCAACGCTGATAGTGATAGCATCGCTCCTCAGCTCCAGACTTCTGATACCATTTCCTCTGCCGATGCATCGGTGAAACGGCCGACAGTAAAATGCGTAACGTTATTGCTGACTGTATAAAAAGGTTGCAGGTGAAAGTGCGACTCGTTTTCTGTCATCTGTCCTCCAACCCAAGATGTCCACCACTCATTACAACACCGCACGCACACATGCCATAATGAAAATGAACAGCACACTAAACCAAGAGGAGGAAACTCAAAAATAAAATGAAGACCCTCGGTTAGCTAACTTTCTGCAATAACTATGCTAGTTAACTTAGCTAACGTTAACTAAATTAGAAAGACAAACAGACCATCAGACACAGACAGACATAATTACTGTAAGTTCTAGGAAAATTACATGATAAATTGGTTAGCTAGCTCACAACGATGTTTATCGACAGTTTTTTAATGAGGCATGACAATGCGCCTGCGCAAGCTTGGAGAATGACGTATGACCCCGTTTTTACAACTTTGCAACTTTGAGCACAAAATTAAGCTTTTTGGCAAACTATGTGGGTAATCAACATTGTAAGGAAGGAAAAATATGATAATATCATAGAAATGTCAAAATACACTGGAGGGGGGATTTAAACAAGAAAAACTCAAAACACATTAAAACTGTAAATGTACCCAATATGCAGCGAAGAAAAAGTTTTAACAGCAGCAAGTATTTTTATTTATTTTTTGTTGTGGTGACTTCCTGTCGGAGTTTTGTTGTCCTTCAAGTGGGGGCAGTTAGGCTCACAGGTCAACAGTGAAAATGCAATCCAATTGTCTCCTTGATTAAAAAGATTCAACTTGATAAAACCAAAAACATGCTGCTTTCATCTTTGGAGAGACATGCCTAGAAGTTTCAAATGAGATAGTTGGATGGATAAATGTCTAACTTCAGTTACCTCAGGAGAAATTTGAATTAGTGCTTGTTTGGACGTTTTTTCAGCTCTGTACAGTAACACTCTTTTGTATCTCACAATCCCCAGGCCGTGGCTCCCTGTCTGATGAACATGGCGGTGTTGTGTCAGTTTTGTCCAAACAAGCTGCAGCTCTCACCAAAGACCCAACAGACTCTGCGACTGTGTGCCTGGAATCTGAGTCAGGGTGAGCACTGACACAACATTTTTGTCCTTTTTTTTTGATTGATTGACTTGCAATTTGCTCCCTTTTCTTCACCTCAGTGAATTTAAGAGGTCTGTCTGCAGTGGTTTTGATTAATACTCACGGGGATCAGTAAATCTAGGAAAACCTGTTGAAAGGGATCCAAAGTCAAAGATTGAGTGTCCATTATTTGTACCTCGCACTGTGCTCAAAGGCCCAATCCCGATGTCCCCCCTAAGCCCTGAACCCTCACAGACTTTACTGACGTCACTTGGAAAGTGATTGGGTGCAGGAGGCTGCAAGGCCTCAAAATGCTGTAAACAGGAACGGGACAGCACTTTGTCACATTACCACGTTACCTTGACGACGCTGAAACACGATGTATACTTTTTATTTTATGTTTTTGACTGATTTTTAAGTCTTGCAGGCTCTTGTCCTACAGAGTGGAGGAGAGGTAAATGTCTATCTACATGTCAATCATTAAGCAAATAATAAAATAAATAGTTAAATAAACTAAGTGTGTAATAAGGTGATTGCATTCCTCTAACTTAATGTTTTCTATGTACCATCTTAAATCGATGGTAAAAAAAATTCTAATAGTTGTACCATCACCGTTGGTTTCCATGCCTGTTTGTTTACTGTTCTTCTTCATTTATAAGGCAGTTTTGCCGTGATTTCTCTCGCTTCTGGGTGTCCCTTGGTAACCCTGGTAACCCCTCTGTTTCACGGCATACAGCTATGAACTGTGGGCAATTCTCTCAGGCTTACCCTTTTCAGACTTACGAAAAGGGTTTAAATAGAGCTCAAAACGCTCGCACACTTGACAATTTGACAGTGGGACAGCCCTAACCCTGTGAGTGTGGATATTGGGATTGGGCCATAGTCTTGACAAAGGTGTTTTTCATTTGCGTGGCTGTGCTGCCACCTTCTGGACTTTGTGAAACATCCCTTGGTGTATGGGTTTCAGTGAATTCAACTCCCACATATATACTGTATATTGTGATGAAATCCTTTTGAATGTTGGACCTTTAAGTCATTGGATACATATTGTAGATGAGCCCGCTGCTTTCTTGTGACTTGTGGGATGCTTTCTGAGTATGGTAGGATTACAGTATATGTCATCAAAGTGTAAATCAATGACTTGATGACCGTGACAGATATTACATGGCAAAACAAAATGTGACTGGCTATCAATCCTCAGCTGATGAGGTGATTATTCTGTTCTGATTATTATTCATTAGAAATGGCTTAAAGGCAGACATTCAGTATCTTTAGATATTTCTACTTAATAAATATTTATGCAAATAATGATGATACTAAAAATAATAGTCTAAAGCCTGTAGTATGGATAAGTCCTACAATTATTAGTCAAACTGCACATACAAAATATCGCAAGTGAGCAACAGACAGGTTGATATGATTGATCTGCTAAAGGTCAGTATTGACTGATCAATATTACACTCTTTAACCAAATTCCTTAAATGTACATTATTGTTATTGGTCATGTTATGACTAAAACTGTTATTTTTAGTGTCACCATTACCATCATGGGCACCAGCGACAGTTCTATGCAGAGATGTCACCAAAACTGCCCTTTTCTCAGATGTTGATGGTTGTTTATCAGATGATTGTTTGCCTTATTGCATTGTTTATGTTTGCTTGTTTTGTAGGAACATTCTGGTGAGGAGTCATGGGACCATCACAGTGGCAGTTCACAAGATAGCATCTTGAAGACCACACGACTCACTGGGGAGTTTTATTGTGAAGAAATGTACATGCGAACACACACGATTATAATCACTCAATTTGAATGAACTTATGTTTGCAAACAAAATCTGGAATTTCTATTTATGTTGTGTTTCATCCCACATTTAAACATGCTTGCTAACTTTCTAATACCTAAAGTGTGGTGATTATTATTATTTATACACATACCAATCTGTAAGTAATGCTATTTTATTGCCATGTAATGATTAGGCCCTGAATCATGTTATGTCCAGCCACATTAATTCTTTTGTGTGTCTTTTGTTCACATCTATATCCTTCAATCCAATCCAACAGAATACTCTAAATAAAATTTAACTTGACTTTGTGGTGCCCTCTTCTGTGTTAAGTAACCATTATTTTCTCCTTTGCTCAGTGTTTCATGGAGATTCTTTGGCAGCTGAATGACGTTCATTCCAGAAAAAAGAAAACAGGTTCCAGAGTATGCAATCATTAATTCAAACTGCTATAGGGGTCACACTGATGTCACATTTGGTGATAAGATCTCATGCATTTGTAGAGGCCATAGGCGCATGTAGAATAAGTAACCATGGGGTGGCAGGTGTATGCAGGTTTTGATGCACCGGGGAGATTTAACTCCTCTCTGGATGAGTGTCCTACTGCTCACAGCACATCGTTCCGATCTGCGGTGTAGAGACAGTGCAGTGCGTCTTGGTGGCGCACTGCCTTTGACCAGAACCTGAGTAAAGTCTGCTGTGGCTCTGGTGTTTTAACCGCAGAGCATTTTCCCTCCCTCACTCCCTCTGAGCTCGCAGATGAGGTTCACCGCTACGCCTCAGTCACGTGGCTCTCCTCATGGAAGGGTTTGCTTTCTGCGGCTCGTCAGCAGAGCCAGCGGGGTTGAGGCTGAGATGTGAGATGCAACTCAGAGGGACTCGCTTATAGAGGCAAAGTTATGGCACGGTCATCCTCTGAGAAAAAGGCCCCGCAGCAATTTTTCTCTGCCAAAAAGTCCCTCGCTGGTGACGCGCAAGCCTCCCTGGGACGCACAACTGCGGAGCGAGAAGACTCCAAATTACGCGTCAAATTAAACTAAAAATAGGGGCTGAAGCGCATCTACTGAAGGATATTTCAGGTATGGACGTTTTGCACATTTACATAAATCAACACATGGATCGATTATTAAAAATCATATTGTTATGACTAAATTAAATTGGAATTTATTTTCTTTATTGGTGAAATACTTTTGTCACAGCATACCTTTCCAACCTGAGAGATTAAGCTCAAGTCAACCTCCAAACTGTTATCCAAGTCTCTGACCGTCAAAGTTATTGTTTGGTTTTAAAACTTTTTACCCACATTGCCTCAGTGCAGGTTTGCAGGCCTCTTATTGTCAGATGGCACGCAGATGACATCATCCTGAAATTCGCCGCCGAAGTGTCAGTGTGCCTGAATTTTCGCATCTGCTTAAACGACTCTTTTCTTGCCTTCCCTGCAGTGTTAAGTTGAGTGAGAGGCACAATGCAACAGGCCTGTGACGTGAAGATAAATAATAGCTCACAGCTCCACAAGGTAAGACCTCCTTATTTTCTCCCCTCAATAATACGGTATTGTGTATGCCTCTGTGGACTAAGCCAAAAGCTTTTCAGCTAAACACCCTGCACACTACTACTACACAATCTCACAATTCCTTTGGGACTGCTTTCCTCAGTCAGAACTCCAGTTAGTGGCTCCAGGTTGTGAATTAATGTTATCTTGGTGGTTGAAATAGTCAGGCAAACAGTAAGAAATAAAGAAAATAACAGATTGAGAATGTTACTGGTTTGTTTCAGTCATTTTTTTCAAGTTGTCAGTATTGTAAAGCCATGAGTGAAATGCAAATTCGTGCAAAAGAGTATTTCTTACACATGAACAATGAAAAGTACACATTATTGATTTAAACGAATAGTACCTAGTACAGAGGCTCTGGGACAGCCTGCCCGCAGAAATCAGGTCGGCTGAGTTGGTGAACTCCTTTACATCCATTCTTAAAACATTTATCGGTGAGCCTTTCCTGATTTTTACTTGAATTTTGTTTCAACTGTCTTTAAATTTCTTAAAATGTTTTTCTTGTTTTTTGACGTTGTTTTCTTTTAAAACCTGACTGGTTTTAGGAGTTGTGTGTTTTATTATGCTGCCTTTGTAAAGCACTTTGTAACATGGATTTTGAAAATGCTCTATAAATAAACACTATTGATATATTAAAATATCACATATAAGCATTATGCATACAGTAGTACTCATTACTCAGAAGCACATTATGCATATGTGGGTGGTAATTAAATCAAGAGGGTGTGGCCCCCCCTTTGGCGACACCCCTGCTAAGCTAATGAAGTGAAGGTCATAGGGGAGGGAAAGCAGGTTATTGGCAGGGTTGGAACATTCCCACAATCCTGATATTTTACTTTGTAAGTAAATAAGTATCTTTTTGGTGAGCCTTTTAACTTTTCACAGCTATGCTGTTAGTATTAAAGCATGCACCTGTTCTCCTATTCTGGTCACATGGAGAGCCCGAACAGGACCATTAATCTCCAATCACAACTGTGTGAGTAAATGTTTACAGGCTACATTTGAAGGCAATAATACTGCAGATGTATCATTTTACCCAGTATTGCTTTGCGGTAATGGTGTATACTGTATATAATACTTCTACAGTGACGTCAACAGACGTGAGGTAGTGTGTATTCTCAAACTACCCCTTTTTTCAGACTTTTTCACAATGCAGAACTGAATGTTTTTCACAGTGTTAGAGTGAAATTTGTAACTATTTTGGAAGTGGGGTCTTAGTTTGACCCACCTTTTGTACAATTCTTATGCTCAACTACGAAAGCTAATTTTCTTGGATTGTAAGCCTCTGCGGACAGCCCATTTAAAAAACAAAACTGTCAAATTAAAAATCTCTACTACTACTACTAATCTACTACTTTCTTTTCACCTGAAGACATGTCTGTGCATATTTTTCTGGTAGCTCTTGTCTTAAAACTGAAAGAAAAATTCACTGAGCTATCCGCCAATGTCTGTATCCATGCAGCGGCGTCAGTGAGTGCTTTTGTCAAAACACATGGACAGAATACGTGTTTGTTTGCAAAGCTAATCTTTCCTGCTGTACAACACACTAACATAGAATGTAGGACAGGAAGGTGTTGAAAGCTTTCAGGTAGGTTTGCTCTTCAGTGAGGATGTGACAAGAGCTCAGAAGTCAGAAACAGGAAAATCACAAATTGATATGTGCTTTTAATTTTTGTTTCCATGTTACTGAAAAGACATGAACACAGCTGGGAATGAGGGGGCATTTTATTCTTATCTGAAAACAAGATAAGTATTTAAGGTTCTTGCTTATCTTCAGGGTAATCTTTTGAACCGTTGCCTAATAATAATGACGTTTGAGCAATGACCCTGATTAAAATCAAGCAAAGAGCCTGATTACTATTGCATCTCTGCCACCAATGCTGACAGACAAATTTTGCCATGCAATTTGGTACAGACATTTAAATCTCCCTCAGGATGAATTGTAATAGCTTTGATGAACCTTTTGAGATCAAAATCTCAGTTTGTCCTATACTTTGTGTTTAGTGCTGATTAGTAAATGTTAGCATGATAACGCATTAAACTAATAATGTTAACATGATAAACATTATAGACAACCTGCTAAACAAGAACATGTTAGTATTGTCATTGCGAGTGTGTTAGCATGCTGGCATTAGCGTTTAGCTTATGTCACTACTGTGTCCAAAAAGCTTGTCTTCCTGCGCACCAACAGCTGCACCTCCAGTCTGTCAAGCTCCTGAAATTTGCGGATGATACACCCATAAATCAACCTATAGCAGGAGATTGAGATTAGACCTGCTCGGTTAAAAGTGCACTTAGGTAACTTCTGTTACAAATTAGCAGAATAAATTCAATTCAATTCTAAAAACAGATTTTTTTTTGTACATCCTTTTTATAATATTTTGATAAGAATTTTAAAATAATTGTCTACTTGCGATTTATTATGCGATTATGCACCGAAGTACCAAAGCAAGTTCCTTGTATTTGAAAACTTACTTGTCAATAAACCTGATTCTGATTCTGGAGAGTGCTACCTATGTCTCTGCTTTCAGGTGACAGAGATATCATCGTGCACCTACCCTGACTTTTATCTTTTTGTTCTAATGATCTTTTGTTATTTGTTACTTCACTGAGCATTGTCTACTTCTTGTTGCAGGTCTAACACTAATCTTGAGGCAGCCGTAGTCAAGTGCCCCTTGACCAACCTGAGAATGACACTCAGAGAATAGGACTCCTGAGTTTATTCGTCACTTCCAGAACCTTCAGGCATACAACCGAAACACTGTTAGAGGTAACTCAACATTCTGGTTTAGTCAGAATATCTCTTACAACATGCTGATGATGCTGTCACTGTTCGAGTTAACGACCCACCTGAATTCTTGTCCCAATTCTTGTTACCTGTGTAACTGTGTACATTACTCACTCAATTCTGTGGCATTTTGCATTTGTGAAATTTTGCAACTTTAAGGAACAGTTTAAAGATAATTATGTATGAGATGCTCATATCTAGCCTCTACAAGTGGTAGCTTTTTCTGATACTTATTATACCAATAAACAAGCCTGACGCAGCACATAAGTCACTGGCAAAACGGTAGAGGCACGTCAAATCATTTTTGAAGCACTGGGGAGGGATTGGTGTTTTTTATTTTGGCAATAGGGAAGGGACATAAAACTTTTAAATGGTTATGTTTGTATTTATTTAAAATACGTTTTTTTCTTTTCAAAACTACCACACCTAACTAAACCTCATTGGACCTCATGCCCACCTTCACTGCTTCAGAGCGGCTCAATGATCCCCTCTGTGTCACAGAAGATGTTATTTGTGATCTGTATAAGGGAAGTTATCTGGATAATAGGCAATCCGATTTTGTTTATAGATGTTTACACCTGTTATTTTCAATGTGTTCTTGTTATTCTCTTTTGAGATTGAATATCTGTCCTCCAGAGCAAAACCTGCAAGTGAACTATTTAAGGGGCAGCAAATCTGCCACAGACTGCCTTAAAAAATCACAGTTTTGTGAGCTGCTGAATTAGGAGAAACTCTGTGAAACACTGGCAAATGTAATGAAGTTATTTCCTTCTTAGTATAAAAAATATTGTGCTGTTTGTCCCGATGTGTTTAAGTACCAGTGTGTAAGCTACTCTGTGACAGGAAAAATTACATGCCTTGTTAGCAGCAGATCAACTGTACAGTTGAGTGCAATGCACATAATCACACAGTTATTTCTTACTGTTTAAAAAGTCATCAGTTAAATTTTTTTTAACTGCCATCCAAATTGATATTATTCTGGCCACTGCTGCCACTGGAAAATGGTCATTAATATGCACATGTCGCTAATGTTGGCTGTGATGTGTGTGTGTGTGTGTGTGTGTGTGTGTGTGTGTGTGTGTGTGTGTGTGAGATGTGTAGGCTCTTTTGTTGGCTTTGTGTGATAGGAGGGATGGCTGTCATGCACCCTTATTCTGCTGAAGTGTACATACAGCTTGTGTGATATAAATTTTGCCTAAGAAATTAGCTGGGTTTTCTATTGGTGGTAACTCTTGCTACTTCCTTGTTGTTTGCTCGTTGCATTGGTTGGGCTAAGTTAGCATCTTATTTATCTTATCGCAGTACTACATGAGAGGACACAGAAGTTGGGGCCGGTAGTTATTTAAGGGAAGAGGGGTCAGAGGGCCATGGTTTAAGAGTCACTGTTTGCTATAAAACGTAATGGTTGGAAAAGGTCAGCCTTTGATTTTTACTTTCTCAGTACTAGTTACCTTAGGTGTGAATATAATTAAGAATTGTTATTTATGGGAGAGAGAGACTGCAGAGAGACTCAAAAAAAATGATTGTAGTCAATAACAAACTGATTACTAAATAGTCCCTAAAAGTGATCTTGCTCAATCCTGGTCTGAATCTTCCTCAGCAGGTATGCAGGGTGTTTTATTTACTGGAAAGTTTATAGTAATGTGATTGTAATTTAACTGAAGCACAGTTCCATCTCTGAAATTCTAGAAACTATTAATTAGGTGTGCAGTGGCAAAACGCTCGTCCCACTGCAATTTCAAGCAGTGATTGTGCTTTCCAACAAATGCAACTGGCAGTTTTTGCAGTTTTCTTTATGTAATTAACAGTAGTTTCCTTTATAGTGAGCAGTAAATTGAGGACACTTATGAATGATCCCCTTTCGTATCATCACTAACATGTGTAATGTCACAAAACAGTAACTACTGCATTTATAAACTGCACATTGCATTATAGGATTATTAACAGTAAGTTGTAAACATGCTATGGATACCCCAAATGGTGGCACTATATAATAAATTTGGATTGATGTCTGATAGTCTGGGACTTGTTTTCTCTCTTTTATTGGTTCTTTATTGACAAATTATATATGAATCATCTAGGCCTCCTTCCATTAAAAGACAATCTAAATACTTGTTGAGGTATGACAATTGAGGTGAAAACAAAAGTTTGAATTTGATTGGCTGTAAGTGAAACCTGAAATTCTTTGTTTAATACATGATCGCATTTTTGCATCACTAGTCATTTCATGAAATGAATATTGCATTTCTCATTACAAGGTCGGGATTCTCACAAGCTTGTTTTCTGTCAAAATGATCTATTCCCCAAGTTATTGGATGGGTTATAGTGACTATATACACATATAACACACACATATGTGATATGAATACATCGAACAATTAAACACATCCTGAGCAACCACCCACCTCAGATAGTGGAGGTGAAATCTGGTTGTGGTGTTGTTGTATCTTTTTTTTAAATTATACCTCTATAATTCGTACGTAGGTCAAATGCAGACAATTTTGGAGAACATCATTCACCAAGTTTCCTTAGTAAAATCCAATATTAAACTAGAAGCACAATGTAAAACTTGGAGACAGAATCTCCCGGTGGAAGTGTGCTGTAACATGGTGTTAATGCCACACTTCAAAATGCTGATCTCCATCGTTCAAACCCGCAGACCCCCGGCACATTCACAAACATTCACTTAAGCATACTCTGAGGACAACTTGTGAACAGCACATGGGGGGAAATACTTTCCTCACAGTACACTGGCCCAATTCATTCCCCTTTTAATCCGCTCTGTGCTCTCTGCCTAATTTGGTCTCGGCTTCTTATACATGTCTAAGTCAGACTGAGTTAGTGATGCAGGTTACAAAAGAGTGGTCATAAACACAGTTTTACTACCCCATCTTCCTCTTATTTCTTCAGGGTCACTTTGCTTTCCAGCATCTGAAGCCAGGTTATATGTAATGCTCTCCTTGTGTCTACAATGCGGGTAAGAAGGGCAGGTTTTAATAAGACATTCAACCAAGATTTCATTTTGTTGGACCTTTTCAATTATTACTCTGATCTGATCTGATTATCTCCCTGAGACCTTGGTTACAGATGTGTCACGTCTTGATTTTTTTCCTGTTTTATTAAGATCAACATGTATTGTATGAAACATATTTAATTTCTTTATGGGGTTATGGTGTGGGGTGGTGATGGTGCAGTGGATAAGACACATGCCTTTGGTGTGAGACACACACATACATTAGTGGATGTGTCCCTGAGCAAGACATTTAGCAACCCCTAGTTGTTCCACAGGCGTGTGACCTCACTTTGGATAAAAGCGCCAGCTTAATGAATAAATGTAAATGGGATTTTAACACTGTCATCACACAGCCAGAAGGTCGTGGGTTCCAAATGTGTTGTCCGGATGGTGCTGGTTGGGGCCTTTTTAAATGTTCTCCCTTTGTATCTGTGTGTTTTGTCTCCCGCAGTGATATGAAAACTGTGAATTGTCCATGGGTGTGAATAGTTATCTGTCTGTATGCGTTTAAGCAAAGTCAAGTTACAGTTTGACCTTGCAAATATTCACTCCATCTCCTGTTTCCTTTCCATTGAAGCCTGTACAACAGACAAATTCAAGGATTCCCTGCTTTGCTGCGATCTCCTGGCAGGTTTGAGTTCACTATTCAGTTCTGCCCTGCTGCACAGGCAAAACAACACTATACCACAGCAGCATGATAGAACATGGCAGTGGGAGTGGTTACCTGCAATAACCTGCTTAGTGTGTAACATGCAAATGCTGCGTATGAGAATTTAGTCACGTGACAGGTATGTATAAAAGTAAAACTATTAAATGAAGAAGCTCCACAGATTTAACAGTATGGCATTCTTAAACATTGAAGTGTACAGCTACTCACAAAACAACCATCACGCTGGTGAAATAACAGTGACATGATGTTAAAGTGCAGATGATCTGCCTTTTCGCAAGTTGAATTTATGCTTTGTGAGGATATGCATGCAATAATAATACCTTTAAGATGATACATAAATGCTGTTAAATAGAATGAAAAGTATCTGTATGGCTTGATAACACTTTTTGCGGAAAAAATACAATATATATTTTTGTGGATTGGGTGAGGTGACTTTTTAAAGGCGTGTGCTAGCTTCATCAACCAAAGCTTGCATAGACACTAAACTTGTAAATATAAATAGATTGATAAAGTGTGCTGCTCAATCAATTCTTGCTAACTGAAAGTGCACTTAGTGGCATTGTGCCAGAGAACTGTGGAAACCAGATTGCCTGTGACAGTGAACAGGCACCACAGCAGGAGTTTTACATTTCTGTGGTTTTACCTAAAAAACGGAAAGCAGAACAGACAGGACACATCTTCTTATCAAGCCACACCATATGCACATCAGCAATGGTCATCACTAATCACCTGCAGTGCATATTCTTCTGTGACCTTGTGATTCACTGCAGTTGCTTGACTTTAAATCTGCAGCAATGATTGATCCATAGGACATACAGTAAATAGCTATGTTTGCTTATTGCCACTGCCAGTGCTGTTTAAGGCATCACTCAATCATCAGAAATGATTCAAGGATTATTAAAAAAAATTTCCGTTGCTTAAACACTATACGCAGGCTTTTGAACTAAAATTTCAGAACCATAACTCAATTTTTCAAAAAGCACACCCGTTTCCCTAAACTTTCACTCAATCAGCACAGGGTGAGCTCAATTAGCTCACAGCTACCCAGGTGGAAACACAAGGAGTCATAAGTGATAAAACACCAATCAAAACCTTCAATAGATAAAAGGGCTGGAGTCAGTTCATTCAGTTTTGGAACAATGGATCTCGAGAAATCTGAAGAAAGAGGTGTAGGACATGAGAGAGGAAGAAGAGGAAGAGGAGGACGAGGACGAAGAGCATTTCGGAGAGGAAGAAGAGGTGAAGGAAGAGGAACAGTTTGAGTTAGAGGAGGAGATGGGATAGGAGGAAGATGAGGCA